GGTATGAAGATTGGGATTGGGATCGGGATCGGGATCGGGATTGGGATCAGGATTTGGATTGGTATGAAGATTGGGATTGGGATCGGGATCGGGATAGAGATTGGGATCAGGATCGGGATCAGGATTAGGATCAGGATTTGGATTGGTATGAAGATTGGGATTGGGATCAAGATTGGGATCAAGATTGGGATCAAGATTGGGATCAGGATTGGGATCAAGATTGGGATCAGGATTGGGATCAGGATTGGGATAGGGATCAGGATAGGGATAAAGCTTGGGATTGGGATCAGGATCAATATCAGGATCATGATCGGGATTGGGATCAGGATGGGGATTGGGATTGGGATCAAGGTTGGAGTTGGGGTTGGGATTGGGATCAAGATTGTGGTTGGAATTGGGATCAAGATTGGGATTGGGATTGGGATCAAGATTGGGATTGGGATCGGGATCAGGATTGGGATCGGGATCGGGATCAGGATTGGGATTGGGATTGAGATCATAATTTGGATTGGTATGAAGATTGGGATTGGGATCGGGATCAGGATTGGGATTGCTATGAAGATTGGGATTGGGATTGGGATTGGGATTGGGATTGGGATCGAGATCAAGATTGGGATTGGGATCGGGATTGGGATCAGGATCAGGATGAAGATTCGGATTGGGATCAGGATCAGGATTGGGATGGGGATCAAGATCAGGTTCAAGATCGGGATCAGAAATGGGATTAGGATTGGAATCGGAATCATGATTGGAATCAGGATCGAGATCAGAATCAGGATTGGGATCGGGATTAGGATTGGGATGGGGATGGAGACTGGGACCAGGATCGGGATCAGGATTGGGATTGGGATCAGGGTTGGGGTCAGGATCAAGATCAGGATCAGGATTGGGATCAGGGTTGGGGTCAGGACCAAGATCAGGATCAGGATTGGGATTAGGGATCGGGGTCTGGGTCAGGATGGGAACCAGGATTGGGATCAGGATTGGGATTAGGGATCGGGGATATGGGTCAGCACAGGGATCAGGATCAGGATTGGAACCAGGATTGGGATCAGGATCAGGATCGGGGATCTGGATCAGAATCGGGATCGGGATCGGGATCAGGGTCAGGACCAGGATCAGGATCAGGGTCTGGGTCAGGATGGGAACCAGGACTGGGATTGGGGATCGGGATCAGGATTGGGAATGGGATCAGGGATCTGGATCAGCACCAGGGATCAGGATCTGGATGGGAATCGAGATCGGAAGCAGAACCAGAATCATACACGGGATCAGGATTGGGATTAGGATTGGGATCAAGATGGGAAGCGGAATCGGGATTGGGATTGGGATCATGATCAGGATCAGGATCAGGATTGGGATTGGGGATCGGGATCAGAATTGGGATCGGGATCAGGATCGGGGTCAGGATCAGGATTGGAACCAGGGATTGGGATCGTGATTAGAATCGGGAATTTGGATCAGGGTTTGGATCAGGATTAGGATTGGGATCGGGATTGGGGATTGGGATCAGAATCAGGATCGGGAATGGGATCAGGATTGGGATCAGGATTAGGATTGGGATCGGGATTGGGGGGGGATCAGGATTGGAACCAGGATTTGGATCAGGATTGGGATCAGGATCAGGATTGGGATCGGGGATTTGGATCAGAATCGGGATCAGGATCAGGGTCGGGGTCAGGATCAAGATCAGGATCAGGATCAGGATCAGGATCAGGGTCAGGATTAGGACCAGGATTGGGATTAGGGATCGGGGTCAGAATCGGGAATGGGATCGGGATTGGGATCAGGATTGGGATTAGGGATCGGTATCTGGATTGGGATTGGGATTGGGGATTTGGATCAGGATCAGGATTGGGGTTGGGATCAGAATCAGGAACAAAATCATAATTCAGGATCAGGATCAGGATTAGGATCATGATTGGAAGCAGGATCGGGATCGGGATCATGATCAGAATCAGGATTGGGATCAGGATTGGGATTGGGATTGGGATCGGGATCGGGATCAGGAATGGGAATGGGAATGGGATCAGGATTGGGATCAGGATTGGGATCAGGATTGGGATTGGGATTGGGATTGGGATCGGGATCCGGATCAGGATCAGGATCAGGATCAGGATTGGGATTGGGATTGGGATTGGGATTGGGATTGGGATCGGGATCAGGATCAGGATCAGGATCGGGATCGGCATCGGGATTGGGATTGGGATTGGGATCGGGATCCGGATCAGGATCAGGATCAGGATCAGGATCAGGATCAGGATCAGGATCGGGATCGGGATTGGGATTGGGATTGGGATTGGGATTGGGATCGGGATCCGGATCAGGATCAGGATCAGGATCAGGATCAGGATCCAGATCAGGATTGGGATTGGGGATCGGGATCAGAATTGGGAATGGGACCAGGATCTGGATCAGGATCAGGATTGGGATCGCCACCAGAATTGGGAATCGGATCAGGATCGGGATCAGAATCGGGATTGGCATCAGGCTTGGAACCAGGATTGGGATCAGGATCGGGAATGGGATCAGGCTTGGAACCAGGATTGGGATCAGGATCGGGGTCAGGATCAGGACTGGGACCAGGATCGGGATCAGGATTGGGGTTGGTGCCCATGGAATTTTGGAGCTCGGAGCATTCCCGGATTTGGGATCGGCTCCGACGGGAGCAGCGGAATTCCAAATCAATCCCCATTCCCAAATCCCATCCTGGTTTTTTTCCCGGGATAACGGGAGGGGCTCCAGAGCTTTTCCAAGGGGATTTGGAGGGATCCTGGAATGGCTGGGATGGGATCCATGGATCTGAAATCCCATCCCATTCCAAGGTTTCCCAGGGGAATTCCAAGAATTCCCAGGGATTCTTCGGGAATTCCCGCCAGGTTGGGAATTCCTTCCCAAATTCCATTTCCCCTTTTCCCCGGGAATTCCCACCATTCCCAGCCTGGGATTGGATCCATCCCCATCCCAGCTCCTCTCCGGGAAGGAATTTTGGGAATTCCCTGGGAATTTGGGATTCTCTTTTCCATCTCCAAATTCCATAAAAATCCCTCGGGATGGATCCCAGAATCCTGGAATTCCATTGTTGGGATCCATGGATCTTCCATCCCACCCCAATCCCAATCCCACGATCCTGGAATTTCCCAACTTTTCCTTGGCCATTCCCAGAGATTCTCAGGGAATTCCAACCCCAAATTTCCCCAAATGTTGGGAATTCCTTCCCAAAATTCCTCCCTTTTCCCATGGAAATCCATTCCCTGCGCCCCGTCCTTGTTTTTCCCGTGGAAAACTTCCCAGAATTCCCAACCTGGGAATTCCAACTCATCCCAAAAATTCACCCTCCAACCCTTTCCCGACCCAAATTCCCGTTTTTTCCCCCTCCCAACGCTCTCATCCGTAGCTTTTTTTTTTTATTTTTTTTTGGGAATTTTCCATCCCTCCTTTACAATATTTCCAAGAATTCCCAACCGGGATCCGCCCCAATTCCAAGAACTCCCAAACCCGGGAATTCCCGCCCGAGAATCCCGGGATTTTTTATTAGGAAGGATGAATTGCTAAGGGGACGCTACGGGGGCCGCGAATCCCGGGGGATTTCCCCGGATTTTCCGGGAATTTTTCCCCGTGGGATTTTCCCGGGATTTTTTTCCCGGGATTCTCCCGGGATTTTTTCCCATCACTGCCCATCCTTGGCGAAACTCTTCCCGATGGCGTTCTTGAAGAGCGTCACCAACGGCGTCCGGATCCGCTCCGAGCTCATAAATCCGCCGTAACGCTTCTCCTTCCGGGAATCCCACGGGAATTCCGGGAATTCTTCCTCCTCCTCCTCGGATGATTCTCCCCTGCGGAATTCCGGGCGGGAATTCTCCTCCGATTCCTCCTCGGCTCCGTTGGGGTAGACCTTGACGGGTCTCCTCTTGCGCCCGACGGGTTTTCCCCAGCGGAAGTGCTCCATGGAATAGGAGCGCTTCCCGTCCTCGGCCTCGTCGGAAAAGCGGGAAGAGCCGGCAATTCCCGCCGTTTTCCCGGCGAGCTCCTCCCGTTTCCCGGGATGCGAGGCGTCCTGCCGGCTCCAGCGGAAGCGCCGGAGGCCCTCGGAGAGCGGCCGGGATTGGCCCTTCCCGGGAAAAAGCGGCGGCTCCGAGGAAATCCCGGGACAGGCCTGCAAGGGCGACGGTGGGACGGAATTCCCACGTTTTTTTTGGGATTTTTTAGGGATTCAGTCCCAAAAAACCCAACAGAAAATGCCCACTCCCAAATCCCGACGTTTTTGGGGGGGTTCGTTCCCAAATTTCCCCGTTTTTTGGGATTTGGTTCCCAAATTTTCCAGTTTTTTGGGATTTCATTCCCAAATTTTCCAATTTTTTGGGATTTCATTCCCAAATTCCCCCATTTTTGGGAAATTTTTGGGATCTCATTCCCAAATCCTGACGTTTTGTGGGGTTTTGTTCCCAAATTTCCCCGTTTTTTGGGATTTGGTTCCCAAATTTCCCCATTTTTGGGATCTCATTCCCAAATCCCGACGTTTTGTGGGAATTTGTTCCCAAATTTCCCTGTTTTTTGGGATTTCATTCCCAAATTTCCCCATTTCTGGGAAATTTTTGGGATCTCATTCCCAAATCCTGACGTTTTGTGGGGTTTTGTTCCCAAATTTCCCCGTTTTTTGGGATTTGATTCCCAAATTCCCCCATTTTTGGGATCTCATTCCCAAATTTCCCCGTTTTTTGGGATTTCGTTCCCAAATCTTTCCATTTTTTGGGATTTGATTCCCAAATTCCCTCATTTTTTGGGATTTGATTCCCAAATTCCCTCATTTTTTGGGAAATTTTTGGGATCTCATTCCCAAATCCTGTCGTTTTATGGGGTTTCGTTCCCAAATTTCCCCATTTTTTGGGATTTGATTCCCAAATTTTCCAATTTTTTGGGATTTCATTCCCAAATTTTCCATTTTTTTGGGATTTCATTCCCAAATTTCCCCATTTCTGGGAATTTTTTGGGATCTCATTCCCAAATCCTGACGTTTTGTGGGGTTTTGTTCCCAAATTTCCCCATTTTTTTTGGATTTGGTTTAGGCCTGGAATGGCAAAAATGACGGGAATTGCAGGACGGAATTCCCAAATTTTTTGGGGGGGATTTTTAGGGATTCAGACCCAAAAAACCCACCAGAAAATCCCCACTCCCAAATCCCGACGTTTTTGGGGGGGTTCGTTCCCAAATTTCCCCGTTTTTTGGGATTTGGTTCCCAAATTCCCCCATTTCTGGGAAATTTTTGGGATCTCATTCCCAAATCCCGACGTTTTCTGGGATTTCGTTCCCAAATTTCCCCGTTTTTTGGGATTTCATTCCCAAATTTTCCAATTTTTTGGGATTTCATTCCCAAATCCCACAAAGTTTCGGGATTTGATTCCCAAATTTTCCTGTTTTTGGGATTTGGTTTAGGCCTGGAATGGCAACAATGACGGGAATTGTGGGACGGAATTCCCACATTTTTTTTGGATTTTGGGGATTCAGTCCCAAAAAATCCAAGAGAAAATCCCCATTCCCAAATCCCGACGTTTTGTGGGGTTTCGTTCCCAAATCCCTCAAATTTTTAGGAATTTCATTCCCAAATTCCCCCATTTTTTAGGAATTTTGGATCAGATCTCAAAGAATTTCCAGGAAAAATCCCAAATTTCCCCATTTTTTGGGATTTTATCTCAAACCCTTCAATTTTTTAGGAATTTGAGTATTTAATCCCAAAATAATCCCTGGGAAAATTCCCTAATTCCCCCATTTTTCAGATTTGTTTGTGTTTGATTCCCAAAATTTATCATTTTCTGGGATTTGATTCCCAAATTTTCCCTTTTTTTTTTTTTCTTTTTTTTTTGGGATTTGATCCCAAGCAACTCTGATTTTTTGGGAATTTGACCCCAAATCCCTCCATTTTTTGGGGATTTCATTCCCAAATTTTCCCATTTTTAAGTAATTTTGGGATCAGATCCCAAAATATTTCCAGGAAAATACCCAAATTCCCCATTTTTGGGGGATTTTTTGTGTTTGATTCCCAAATTTTTGGATTTTCTGGGATTTGATTCTCAAATCCCTCCATTTATTGCGATTTCGTTCTCAAATTCCTTCATTTTTTGGTATTTTATGAATTTGATTCCCAAATTCTTCCATTTTTTGGGAATTTTGGGATGAGATCCTGAAAAACTTCCAGGGAAATTCCCAAGTTCCCCATTTTCCAGATTTTTTTTGTGTTTGATTCCCAAATTTTCTGATTTTCTGGGATTTGATTCCCAAATTTTCCCTTCTTTTTTTTTGGGAATTTGACCCCAAACCCCTCCAATTTTTTTGGGAATTTGACCCCAAATTCCTCCAGTTTTTTTGGGATTTCATCCCAAATCCATCTCCAAATTTTTTGGGATTTCACTCCCCAATCCCTCCAGTTTTTTTGGGAATTTGACCCCAAATTCCTCCACTTTTTGGGATTTCATCCCCAATTATTCCCCCTTTTTTGGGATTTCATCCCAAATCCCTCCAAATTTTTGGGGAATTTGACCCCAAACCCCTCCGATTTTTTGGGAATTGGACCCCAAACCCCTCAGATTTTTGAGATTTCATTCCCCAATCCCTCAATTTTTTTGGGAATTCATTCCCCAAATCCCCCCAATTTTTTGGGATTCCATCCCCAATCCCTCCAATTTTTTTGGGAATTCATTCCCCAAACCCCTCCAATTTTTTTGGGAATTGGACCCCAAACCCCTCCAAATTTTGGGATTTAATCCCAAATATCTCTGATTTTTACCCTAAACCCCTCCAATTTTTTGGGATTTCATCCCAAATCCCTCCATTTTTTTGGGAATTTGACCCCAAACCCCTCCAATTTTTTTGGGAATTCATTCCCCAAACCCCTCCAATTTTTTTGGGAATTGGACCCCAAACCCCTCCAATTTTTTGGAATTTCATCCCAAATCCCTCCAATTTTTGGGATTTCATTCCCCAATCCCTCCAATTTTTTGGGAATTGGACCCCAATCCCTCCGATTTTTTGGGATTTCATTCCCCAGTCCCTCCAATTTTTTGGGATTTCATCCCAAACCCCTCCGATTTTTTGGGATTTCATCCCAATCCCTCCAATTTTTGGGATTTAATCCCAAATCCCTCCAATTTTTGGGAATTTTGACCCCAAATCCTTCTGACTTTTTGGGAATTTGACCCCAAACCCCTCAGATTTTTGGGATTTCATCCCAAATCCCTCCATTTTTTTGGGAATTTGACCCAAATCCCCCCAATTTTTTGGGATTTCATCCCAATCCCTCCAATTTTTTGGGATTTCATCCCAAACCCCTCCGATTTTTTGGGATTTAATCCCAAATCCCTCCAATTTTTGGGAACTGGACCCCAAACCCCTCAGATTTTTGGGATTTCATCCCTAATCCCTCCAATTTTTGGGATTTCATTCCCCAACCCCTCCGATTTTTGGGAATTGGACCCCAAACCCCCCCAATTTTTTGGGATTTCATCCCAAACCCCTCCAATTTTTTGGGATTTCATCCCAAACCCCCCCCGATTTTTTGGGATTCCCCCTTCACCCCGAAACGCCGCCCGCGCCCCGCGTGGGAATTCCCGGGAATGCCGAAGTTACCGGGACGGCGCCGCCCGGCGCCAGCAGCAGCCCCAGCAGCGGCAGCAGAAGCCGCGGGCCCATCCCGAAATCCCGGAAACCTGCGGAAAAACGGGAATTCGGGCATTTTTTGGGAATTTTTGGGGAATTTTTTGGGAATTTTTGGGGAAAAAACTGAATTTTTTGGGGATTCTTTGGATTTTTAAAGGATTTTTTTCTGATTTTTTTAAGGATTATTTGAGGATTTCTTGGGAATTTTTTCAGGTTTTTTTTTTTGGGATTTCTCAGGGAAATTTTTGGGGATTTATTGGAATTTTTTGGTGTTTTTTGGGGATTTTTTGGGTTTTTTTATAGGTGTTTTTTTATTCTTTGGGATTTTTTGGAGGATGTTTTGGGGATTGTTTTGGGAATTTTTGGTGGTTTTTAAGGAATTTTTGGGGGGTTTTGAGGATTTTTTTTAGGGATTTTTAAAAGGATTTTGGGGATTTTTCTAGGGATTTTTGGGGGGTTTTATGGAATTTTTGGGGGGGTTTGGGGATTTTTAGGGATTTTTTGGAGATTTTTTAGGGATTTTTTTGAGGTTTTTAAAGTGTTTTTTTTGGGGGGATTTCTTGGGTGATTTTTCTGGATTTTATGGAACATTTTTGGGGATTTTCTTGGGATTTTTAGGGATTTTTTTAGGGATTTATTTGGGAATTTTTGAGGATTTTTTTTTTGTGATTTTTTTGGTGATTTTTAAAGGATTTTTTGGGGTTTTTTTGGGATTTCTTAGGGAATTTTTCAGGGATTTTATTGGATTTTTTTTAAATGATTTTTCAGGGATTGTTTTTATTTTTTGGGATTTTTTTGGAGGATATTTTGGAATTTTTAAAAATAATTTTGGGGATATTTTAGGGATTTTTCTTCTTTTGGGGGGGATTTTTAAAGGATTTTTAAGGGATTTTCGGGGATTTTTTCGGATTTTTGGGATTTTTTTTTTTAAGGATTTTTGGGGATTTTTTTGGGAAGGAACTGGGGAAAAAATCCCGAAAAAATTCTGGGAATCTTTTGGGAGCTCCGTGCCTCAGTTTCCCTCTGGAAAATCCCCCCCAAAATTCCTTTAAAAACCAAAAATCCTCCCCAAAAAATCCCAAAATCAGTCCCCAAAATCCCCACAAAAATCCCAAAAAATCCCCACAAATTAAAAAAAAAAAAATCCCCACCAAAATCCCCAAAAACCTCCCAGAAAAATCCCCCCCAAAAAATCTCCAAAAATTCCCCAAAAATCCCCCCAAAAATCACTCAAAAAATCCGAAAAATTCCCCAAAAATCCCCCTAAAATAAAAAAAATCCCAAAAAATCCCCCCAAAAATCTCCAAAATATTCCCCAAAAATTCCCAAAATAACTCCCCCAAAAATCCCCACAAAAATCCCCCAAAATCCCCAAAAAAATCCCCAAAAAATCCCCCCAAAATTCCCCAAAAATGGTAAAAAAATCCCACCAAGAATCCCGAAAAATCCCAAAAAATCCCCCAAAAAATCCCCAAAAATCCCCTGAAAAATCCCCCGAAAAATCCCCCCAAAAATCCCCCGAAAATAAAAAAAATCCCAAAAATCCCCCCAAATTCCCCAAAATTCCTCCAAATCCCAAAAAACCATCAAAATTCACAAAATCCTCTGAAATCCCCAAAAAATCCCCAAAAATCCCCAAAAAATCCCCAAAATTCCCCAAAAATTCCCACCAAGAATCCCCCCAAAAATACCCAAAAATCCCCCCAAAAAATCCCCAGAAATCCCCAAAAGTCCCAAAAAATCCCCCCAAAATCCCCAAAAAATCCCCAAAAAATCCCCCCAAATTTTTAGGATTTATTTTGGTTTTTAAATCGATTTTTGGGGATTTTTAAGGATTTTTTGGAAATTTTTGGGGGTCTTTACAAGGATTTTTAAAGGATTTTTTGGGAATTTTTTGGATTTTCCAAGGATTTTTTTGGGGTTTTTTTTTCCGGGATTTTTTTCCGGGATTTTATGGAAATTTTGGGGAATTTTTTTAGGATTTTTTAGAGATTTTTGGGATTTTTTTTAAAAAAGTATTTTTAAAGGAATTTTGGGGATATTTTGGGAATTTTGGAGGGGATTTTGGGGGGATTTTTGAAAGACATATTGGGGAAATTTCGGGGATTTTTAAATTTTTGGGGGATTTTTAGGGATTTTTAAAAAGATATTTTGGGGATAATTTTGGGGATAATTTTGGGGATAATTCAGGGCTATTTTGGAGTTATTTTGGGAATATTTTGGGGAAATTTTGGGGATATTTTGGGGATATTTTGGGAATATTTTGGGGCTATTATTTTGGGGATAATTCGGGGATATTTTTGGGTTAATTCCGGGGTAATTCGGGAATATTTCAGGAATATTTTCGGGCCAGTTTGGGGCTATTTTGGGGCTATTTTGGGAATATTTCAGGGATATTTTGGGGATAATTCGGGGATATTTTGGGGGTAATTTGGGGCTATTTTGGGGATAATTTGGGGATAATTTGGGGCTAATTTCGGGGCAATTCGGGGCTATTTTGGGTCAATTTTGGGAATATTTTGGGGATAATTTGGGGATAATTCGGGGATAATTTGGGGATAATTCGGGGCGGTTTTGGGAATATTTTGGGGCTAATTGGGGCTAATTGGGGCTAATTGGGGCTAATTGGGGCGGTTTTGGGGCTAATTGGGGCGGTTTTGGGGCTAATTGGGGCTAATTGGGACTAATTGGGGCTAATTAATTGGGGCTAATTGGGGCTAATTGGGGCTAATTGGGGCTAATTGGGGCTAATTGGGGCTAATTGGGGCG